AGGAAAGTGGCGAGACAAGTATTGAAACAGGGAACATTAAGTGAAATAGAAAATGACAGTGACGCACAGTAATGAGATGGAGAAACAGGCTGAGCAGTAGTGAGCGTGAGGGTAAAGATGCATCATTTGGCAGCATCCCAATGCAGTGAGTGAGAGTAAAGGAAGTAGCAGAAAGAAAAGTAAACTAAAAAAAACTTTAACAACCACTGCCAAAGACAGCTGCTGGATTGAAAATCTTCCTCCAACCAAATTAATAATGCAGGAGCTTTTTAGTCTGTATAGCCAGTTTTGACACAGATTGCCCACTCGTGACTGTGGATAGTGGAGATGACAGACTGACCTGCCACAGCAATAATTAATTGGTATATTTTGGGCATCTTGATGAGAGAACAGTGGTGACGAAGACGCAGGAAGAAGGAGATGGAGCTCTTTTAATGGGCAGCAGATAATATACTCATTGATATTGTTAGTAGACATGTGGATAGTGCCAATTAATATGCTGAATTATGTCCTTGTTACACATACAAACATTTTTTCTATCAAAAAATCTAGAAGAGCACCCAAGTCTAAGGCATTGAGCAGCTATATCTAGAGATTAGGAGTCTTGCCTATTTTTTCTGTGTCACGTACATGGTTTTCAGTAAAAATAGACTTGTAAAATGGTGTTTTGATAATTATATTGGCATTATACAACCTTTCATGACATTTTAAATGTCTTTATTGTTGCATTATGTTTTTTTTTAACTCAACCTTCCTGTTTCCATTTCTGACACAGTCTCTGTCAACAGAATCCCTACATTTGTTAACACCAGGCCTTTTTATTGGGAAATATTTTCCTGACTGTGTTGTTGACAGTACAGTGGCTTACACCTCTCCATAACTGAGTGGAGTACTGGCTTTTAATTGTGGAAATACAGTAGTTATAGCAGCAGGTAGTTCTGCAGCAGCACCACAGCAGCATTCCTCTCTGTGGGAACACAGCATGCGTGCAAGCCACAGCAGTTAAGCAAGGTAACTGTCATGCATTACTCACATTGGGCGTAAGTCTCTAGTGCACTTGTTCTATGGGCCCCACAACACGGAAGACCTGGGTGATTTAGTACTCTGGAAACTGAGCCCTTTTGGCTTCATGCAGCGCTGAGCAGCCTTCATAAGAATGCACAGTGTATCTAGTTCTCTTTATACATCCATAGGAAATCCAGGTTGTCAAGGTTCAGAAGTACTTAAAACAACCACTATCCCGTGTGCTCTTCATTAACATACATACCATTTCCTTTTCCCTTGTCTGAGGTTTGGAATTAAGGTGTGTCACAATCAGATTAAACATCTGTGTCAGAGGGAGCGCTGGATTTACCTGCTCTGTAGTTTCTACTGAATACTGCCCTGTAATAACCTCGAGAGATCTTCATACTGTTGATACATCTGCTAATACTGTTTACGTTGCTGACGGTAAAATCCTCTCCTGCAGCCACTAAGATGTGCATTATTCTGACATGACAGTTAGTGCTGCAACTTGATGGCAAAGGTGAAGCAGATGGTGAAACTTGGTGAAAATTATAAACTTCTCTTAGTATTTTGGGAGGTATAATGGTTCAAGATCAGATGCCCTCCATTTAATATACTGGACAGCTTCTTTTTGCTGTTGTGAGAAACATAATTGACCAGATATTTCTGTAAAATATAATACAAGTTGGGGCATTTAATCCACACTGGCATTTATCATTGTGTATTTGAGTCGAAGCCCTCAGATAAAAGCCGAATGTAACTGGTGGAGCTGTTGGGCCGTGAACCAGATGGAGAGATATGAAAGTATGTTGAGATGTTTCACTTCTCTTCCACCGTTGAACTTTGTTTTGCAAGTCTATGAAATTAATAAGACCGATTAATTGTTGAGAAAGAATATCAGAATAGTTGCAGATTGATCTTCTTTCGATCGATTAATAGTCACAGTTCTAAATAAGACAAAATCTTTTGTTAGAATCAAATGGTCTGGACCATAGTTCATGAGCTCTGGGTAGTGACTGAAAGAATGAGGTCGCGGATACAAGCAGCTGAAATGAGTTTTCTCTGTGGGGTGGCTGGGCTCAGCCTTAGAGATAGGGTGAGGAGCTCAGACATCCGGAGGGAGTTCGGAGTAGCTGCTGCTCCTTCGCTTCGTAAGGGGTCAGTTGAGGTGGTTAGGGTATCTGATCAGGATGCCTCCTGGGTGCCTCCCAATAGAGGTGTTCTGGGCACTTCCCACTAGTACACCCAGAATACGCTGGAGGGACTACATATCTCATTTGGCCTTGGGGTCCCTCAGGAGGAGCTGGAAAGTGTTGCTGGGCAGAGGGACGTCTGGAATACTTTGTTCCTCCTGCTGCCCATGTGACCTGACTTCGGATAAGCGGTTGAAAATGGATGTATGGAAATGATCTGGACTAAATAAGTGAAACACTACTGCACTACAAACACTGCAGTGGTGAACTGTATCAGGTTGTTGTAAGGTGGAATGAGCAGTGAGAGCGTGCAGGATATCTCTACGGTCAATTGCACAATCTTTCTCCTTTCCTCAAGAGAAAAAAAAAACACTTCTCCTGATATAAGAAACCAATTTTTATTTTTAGATTCTGTGCCAGTTGTTCCTAACGAGATTGAAAAGTGAGACTTCTATCTCACCTAATTCACAGATATATATAAGATTGAACAACTTCAATTTCAGTGCCATTATGTGTAATGATGAAAGGAAGAGTTCTCTGAGAGTGAAACTCATTTCGTCTGATAGGCAATCAGTGCTCGTTTGAAGTTTTGCAGAGATGTCTGGAGAACATTAAGGATAAACTGTGTTGGATTTGGTCCATGTCACGTCCAGGGAGTAGTATAATTAACTTTCTAACTACTGTTGTTAAGTCAACAACAAGATAAACATGCCACACAGTCTTCTTAGTTACATCAAATCTGTGCTGCTGCTGACCTTAAGTGGAAACAGTGTTTGACTCCAGTCTTGCAGACATAGTCCCTCCTCCACTGATGCTGATTAACATGTTGTGCAAACCATATTTTAGTTGTATAACATTTTGTATCTGTGTCAGTCCAGAACTATAATCCATGGCTGGGCGCTCTTTGCTGTAGAGAAGATGTCCCGTGGGTTTCATCCGGATCTTTACTCACAGCTGACAGCAGCTAGTCAGTCAAAGTGAGAAGTAGAAACAGTACACAGCAGTTTGTGCAAGAACTGATAGCTTAGGAATTAATAGTTTTATCCAGCAGCCCGGTCAAAGAGGTCTTCCCTGCTGGCTGCTGGGTGTTGTGGTAACTTGGTTGGTCTGGCTCTCTCACAAAGGCACACACAAGGAAACAAAAAAGCAGCCCCCATCTGTGTTGCCCAGAAAGGGAAATAAACATCTGTGAGTGGAAGCTGTGTAACTCCGGGGGTACAGGGGTAGGATGGGGATCCCAGCTGAAAAACATTTTGCACACATGCCAAAGCCCTTTAAATTCTTGCTTACTCTCTCTTTTATTTCCCAGTACCTGCAAGGATTTGTGTTGGCCAACACTGTAGTGCAGGTTAACAGCAAGGGTTATCAGTCATTTGCATTTCTTTCACGCCAGTCGGATAAAGGTTTACTATACAGGGATTGTCGGGTCCCAGATTGAAAGTCCCAGATTCACTGTTGTTTTGGAACGAGCTTTGTCTGCTTTGCCTCACTATATTTGCTTTTTTCTAGCACAATGTCCACAAGCTTTGCAGCTTTCGCTTTGATGCCTTTTTATAAAGTCCTTACTTCACCGGAGTGCTGTGCCAAGGAAAGCTCAGGATCTCCCATTCATTTTGAAGTCTTGAGTTTGGCATTTTGGCCATCACCATCTTGGATTTTTTCAGAGCCAGAAGTGACCCAAGATGACCATAGTTTGAGAATAGGGTTGACATGGGGATGAGCGATGGTGGATGAGTGACTGGAACTATTTAAGGTGACGCCTCGCAGCCTGACGCTTAAAGTGACTTCACATTTAATTATGCTTAACTTTTAGCCTTAATAAAATGTAAACAGTCACGAACGGAGAAAATAGCTATAGAGACCAAAGTAATTTTTGTACCAGGCTATAAACATGTTTATTTCTGCTGTAAAGTTGGGCAGTTTAACGTGGGGGTCTGTGGGGATTCACCTTTGGAGCCAGGCTCATGTGGCCATTTGAGGAACTGCAGTTTTTGGCTTCACTTGTCAGGCCCAGAGGTTGCCTCATGCTCTCTGCGCATAAATACACCGCCACACTCATAGTCACAAGTAATGATCGAGAGGATTACTTTTTAATAAGTCTATACATTGTCTTTCTTACATTTTCTTACTTTTTTTTACAACTTCCGACCATGAAACATCCTTTGTCCCTCGTGATCACCTCCCATCTCTGTGAAGGACAGAGAGTGAGCGGCAGCTGTGTCAAAGTTGTCTGTTTTATTTGTGGCCTCAGCCCCCATGTGGTGTGACGTGGTGGGGGTGAGGAGTCAGTAGAGAGAGAGAGGGTAAACACCACAGGACAGAGCGTCTGTTTCCATCAGGAGCTCTGCTGCTTGTCCATTGTCACTGATTGGTGACTGTGTGCTTTTAGCAGGAAAGGACACAGGATGACCTCCTGGCCTTTTCATTTCCAAACACACACATGTGCACGCACGCACACACCATCGAGAATCACTTACATATTTATTGTTGTATCTCGAGACACACAGAGCTGGACTTAAACACTGACACGCTCACTCGCTTCCTAACAACAAAAAGCTGTTGTGACATCTGGTTAGAGTTTGCTGTCCCTGAATGCTTCTGCACATTTGTCGCAGTTTTTTTTTTTAAACTTGATTTTAAAAATTCCCAAAAGAATAAAATTCAATCACGCTGAATGAAACTTGAGGAGACAAACAACAACTGTGGGGAGGCAGTGATTTTTGTGTCGAAAACGGATCCTGCTGCTGTTTCACTTTTAGTTTGATAATGAAATTCCTGTGAATTCATACAAACCAAGCCCAGTCAAGTCAAGACAGTTTATTTATAGAGTGCCAAATCATGACTAAAATGATCTCAGGACACTTTTCATATGGAGCAGGTCCAGACTAATTTACAGAGACCCAACTGTTTGCGACATGAGCACGCATGGTGGAAATTCCCACCAAGAGCGAGCACGTACGCAACAGTGGCAAAGTGAAACGCCCTTTAAAGTAGCAGTAACTTCGAGCAGAACTCGAGACAGAGACGGAGAGGAACGGAGAGAGGGCAAAAGACAGGGATAGAGAGAAGGAGGGGGAGAGAGAAAGAGTGATGGAGAGAGAAAAAGGGAGATCCAGAGTGAAAGACACAGAGGGGGAGAGGGAGGGAAAGACAGAGAGGGATACACATAAATACGGGGAAAGAGAAAGGGACAGAGAGACAGAGATGAACAGCAAGAACAATAATAACATTAAGAACTATAACAATTACAGAGATATGACTAATGATAATAACAGCAGCAGTGGGCGTCATGCAGGACCCAAGCAGCAGGAGCAATCACGATCCAGGTGCCAGCACCATCCAAATGAGCCAGTGTCCATGCTTCACAAAATGTTGGCAGTTTGCTCTTTTTAAACGGTCACATCCTCTTTCACATCCTCCCCTCACGCCTTCCTGCCCTGTGGGAGAGAATGAAAAAGTCAATACATAATGTGTGAATACGCTGATGTGAGAACTGTAGTATTGACCTAGTAGCGTGGCCTCACACACACACACGTAGACACACTCCATACTCCAGTGGTTTTTACTGCCTTGCCACCAGAAGTGCTGAAGACTACATATGAAACTGGCTGTGTTGTGCATTAAATCATCATAATTAATGCTACTATCTGCACCATTCACACAAAAACATGCCACAAAATATGAGCACAGAACACATGCCACACCTTGCCATGATCCCCAATGTGTTTTTTACCAGAGGCCAGCATAATTCTTTGGTTATTTGCAATGGGAGCGCCATGTATTTACACTACTCCACAAACGCCGGCAGTGTGACGAGGCTCTGAGTGTGAATTCTGCTCTGTGCTCTGCGAGAGTTGAAAAATGTTCAACAGCAGCAATCACTTGCACCAAAAGACAAATAAGAGAATAAATTATAAGACCTGTAAAGTGGTTGGTTTTGAAAGCACTTCATAGCTACACCTGCTGTTTCCCTGACGCTCTCTCTCTCTCCCTCTCCTCCAGATCCAGCCCTATGACAAGGTCGCTGGCCGAGGCCTGCCGAACAGTGTGGCTGACTGTCTGAACAAGCTGGTGGTGGTGAAGCTGAACGGAGGCCTGGGCACCAGCATGGGATGCAAAGGCCCCAAGAGCCTGATCAGTGTCCGCAACGAGAACACCTTCCTGGACCTCACTGTGCAGCAGATAGAGGTACAGAAACATGATTGTTCAGTAGCTCTGAATTACAGATTTTACGTAGTGAATGCTGTAAAAGACTTGAAGAGGGAAAGACCACTGTGACCTGCCGCTGTTCACAAAGAACCATAACTTTGTGCCATCAGTCATTTTCTTCACTGAGGAGTTTTTTATGATAGCAGAGGTCCTTTATGCCTGATATCAGACAGAATTGTCAACTCGTTACACTCCGTTACCATCTTCAGTCTGGCACTGTGTCCACTCTAACCGATTTCACTGGGGGAGGAGGATTTAATTTTCCCTGACCAATCACTGAGGACCAGTGTAGTCCACACTGATATGAAGCCGTGCCAACATACCTGTTTGCTGAGATTTTAAGAGTGGAGCGGAGCCAAATCAAACTAATTACAATGACAGGTGATATTGAGAAGACATGTTGATTCAGGGCGACTTTCTCCTTGACTGCTGTAACACTGGAATTTCTCAATTATGGGATCAATAAAGGTGTATCTTATCTTATCTTATCTTATAGCGTTCGCCATTGTTGTTATCACTCCTCATTGGCTCTCGTGGACCGCTCAGCTTCAGTTTGTCAATAGTATTAGTCCCACCTGTGGTGCTGATTGGTTGTCTTTTATTTTTACTTAAGTTGAACACGAGCAGTATTTCCCCTAGCAGTGGCGCTGCGATGAAATGTACTCATACACAGTTAACTCGCTATCCTTGGTTTGAGCAGCCAGAGTCGAGAACGAGCGAGGATTATAAATTGAACACCCCCAGATAAGGGTTCACCGATCGATCGTTATTGGCAGATATTCATTCTCAATAGTTTGAAGGCTGATCAGAAGAGCAGATGACAAAGAACATGAGAGATGATTTCTCTATGTACCGCTGAAGTAGCTTTACTGGTCTGGCAGTTCTGACAAACTGTAGCTCACACTGACTATTTGCTGTTACATTCATGGTTTACTGCTCACCTGCCTGTCCTGAGTGCAGACACACCAACTGTGGCATAACAGTGCAATATTCCCACCTTGAACCAGCAGTTGTAAAACGGTTAAAATCACCTTTGGAGAAATGCAACCTGACGTCCCACTGTGGTGGCCAATCACGTAGTGCAGTCTGTGGGAACAAGTCATACAGGCTCTTTCTGTTGATGAATATTATAACGAGTAAAAGAAATAACACCTTGTGTGTACTATCCTACAAATAAAGGAACTCTGTTAGTTTGTGTGTGTGAGCATGTGTGTCTCTTGTGGCAGTAAAGATACTACAGTTACGCTAATCAACAGCAGTTCTACAGATCTTTTAAGTCAACATAAACAAACTTACCGAAGACAAATATTTATGTTGCTCAGATGAGGAGATTGGCTTTCTATAGTTGGTCTCCACCCTTCACACCTCAACAAATGGGCCATTTAAGTCATACTCCCACACCGCCGCCCGGCTCTGCAGGCTTATCACTACGACAGCTGATTTGGTGTGAATGCAGCCTGATCCTGAGGTTGCCGGCCGCCACAAAAGCCTGTATGATGTGGTTATGATGTCTTAATGGGCGGAGCAGAGGAGTAGAAAGGGACGTATTGTCTGATGTAACACTTGTATGATCCGTGAACAGTTGTTTGCCCTGATGTAGTGATGTTTGATTAGTGTGTGTGTGTGTGTGTGTGTGTGTGTCATAGGGGAGCTTTGACTTTTCTTTACCACCCCAAACTCAAAAAGTACAGAAAAATACGTCAGAGGATTCAGGGGAAAGAATAACGGCAGCTCTTCTTTTCATAAACAGAAAATTACAAGCATATGTCTTGTTCTTCGTCTTTCTCCCCACGACACGCTGCAGGTGAATCATCCTCCAGGCACAGGCTTCTATTAGTTTATGTATCCGAGGCGCCATGGGAGAGACGTGCGTTTTTTTGGAAAAAGACCTGAAGGTCTTCTGAAAGGAGCTTAGTGTGATGTCTGGGGGGAAGTTGTAGTGAAAGAGGATCTGTTGGTGTGCAGGTCCGCAGGTCTGTGGGTCTGGCAGGGAGAAGACTGTGTGCTGGAGTGGTTGTGGTTATTTGCACCTGAACATATTTCAAGACATGACATTAAAAATACGGATTCCATACATAATACATCAGTATTACAACGAATCCATTGATTCATTTATGTTGGCTCAAACTTAATTTATGCTTCACAAATAAAGAAATGAGAACCACAGCATCACATGCTCAAGCTCACGTTTTGGGGAGTTAAAGTGAGGTTAAAGAAATCTGTCCTGAGTCACTCAGAGACCATGATGATGCCAGAACTTCGGTGTGTACAGCATTGTGTAATTGAGTTTATGTAGAGGGTGTGCGGCCGCGTGGTATTTGTGTGTGTTTCATAACAGCCTCATGGGACGCCTCGCTCCTCCCGGCACACTGCTCTCTGTGTCCGAGTCACTGCTCTCCATTTTCTGCTCAGGTCTGGTCAGATTACCTCCTGACTGAATTGGCCCATTTAGAAAGAAAGAAAATGGATCCCATACACACACCGACCCCCAACTGGGTCTCCTGTGTGAGAACGCCCCTCATGCATATTTATTTAGGAGCATTTTAGTGCAGAGACCTGTACACACACACTTTGTTGGAATGGTGCCACCTGACTGCTGAAGATTTACCGCTTTCTTGAGCGACTGTCTCGTTTATACGTGTTAAATTAACAAGTTGAGTCATGCAAGTTTAAAAGAGTGCAGCTCAAAGTTACAAAAACAGTCCAACTGACATAAACACTTGAAGGGCATGGTCACATTAGTCTGGTGAGACCATCCTGATGACGAATCAGTCTGGCCCCGCTGCTGCCTCAAACACTTTCAGTGGGAGGAAGCACTCACCGTGACAGACACACTCCTTCAATCAGTAATGAAACAACAATAAACACTGGTTTTGTTCCTGGGAACAATTTAGCCACAAATTTAGCGACTTATTCACACCATCAGGGTAAAAGCAAGAAATGTATTCAAATGCATTTTATTTCATTCCCATGTATGCAGCGCAGAATAAACAGTCCATGGCTCCTCAGCTGAGTTTCTCCCCCTCTCTTCTTTTGCATAGCAGCGCTGCCCAGGCACATTGCTGAGCATCCTTCATGACTAAGGGTGCTTACAGACCTAGAGTTGTCTTGCTTTGGTCTGAATCAGGGACTAATTTTGTTTTGTTTAATTTTGCAAAGTTGTATAATTGCTTAGAGTTGGTTCTTGTTCTCACTGCAGCATTTACAAGCGGTCCAGTTCAAATGCCTTGTGTGAGAAAGCTGCTCTTGATTGGTCAGAATTTCCATGTGGGAAAAATCCAGGAAGTAAATCAAACGTTGAAGAATAGTACACTTGCAAGATAAATGTGACACTTTCTAATGTCACAATGGAGGGACAACTACGCAGGTTGATTTTAGCGCTGCTCATCGTGGACTATATTGCTGTCATTGTTCATTTTAGTCAAACCATACAGTTTGAAAACGAGGCGCAGCTCCAACTAGAAAACAATGTTTTGATGCATTGGATGTGTTGAATGTGCATATTAAGGCAGTACAGGAGGAGGTGCACATTAACAATCTTCCAGGACTGTAACATGCTCATGTTTAACCCAAACAATGTGTCATGTGACTGCAGCTGGTTCAGATCCAGGTAGGAACACGTTCTCACCACAAACGAACCGCACTGGAGTTAATTTGTAACCAGACCGAGACCACCTCTTCAAGAATGTCTCAGTCTGGTTGTTTTGGTGCGCACCTGAGTGTGATTGCTGTGTTCACACCTGCCCAAACAAACCTTTGGGCATAGTTCGATTGAACCTAACCAAACAGGGCAGGTGTGAAAGCAGCCTGAGACGCCACTGACAACTGTTTGTTATCGATCTTACGCTCCCAATTTGGACAGGCAGACATCAGAAACGACACGGTTAAGTTGGTTCCAAAAGTCACACAACAACAGAAACTAGTCAGTAGGATAAGTTAGTACACCATTATCTGTATCTGTATCTATTCAACCAACTAAATTATCTGTACTTGGAATAGGCAGGGTTTGTGCTGGAAGTGGGTGGGATTTAAATCAAAAGTAGGTTGGGCCTACTCAGAAGCTGTTATTTGAGGCCTTTTATAGCAATAAAAAACTGGGGAAAGAAAGTTAAAAAGATGCAATAATAAGGTGCAAATTCTACATAAAGTGACTTAAAGATCCAGTAGATGCACCTTACTGCACAATAGCACTGGCTGTTTGGTCAAACTGGGCAACTTGTCAGGGGCGGTTTGCTTTCACAGTCACTGTCATCCCTCCTCCCCACACACTCACTGTCAACATGCTATTAACGCCACGTTAGTGGGATTTTAATTTGTTTGCAATATAATGTGTGTGAGCACTAGGGCTGTTCACAGTGGTCTTTAACATCCTGAAGTAACACGACAGTTTTACAGAAAGGTGTGGGGAATTATACACAGTTACGCAGTTTGCCGACTCGTTTAACTCTCGTAAAGCAGAGGTCAGTGTTCATTTGCATAAAACATAAATCCTGCCAACACCCATCTGCATTTATTACCGGAAAAAAAGAGCTGGAGTTTAGTAAAGTGTAATCACTCCTTGTTTTCTGCCACAGGCTGGAAATTCAACTCTTTACCAACTTCCTCACGTCAGCTTCACCCTGCTGATTCATATCCCATTTCTCATTCTCCTCCCTTACTCACTTTAATTTTCTCTTATCTTGGTAGGTAGAAAAAAGAAATGCTTCCATTTCTCCTCAGGTGTTTTTTTCCTCTTTTTGTATTCATCCTAATCACACAATCAAGTTTCGGAAGTATTGTCTCTTGAGCTGTTGTTCTTAGTATTCATTACGTGTTATATTGATGCAGGGAAGTGTGTTTTGTTGCTGCTGTGATGTCAGCTAATCTCACTCCTTTAAAAAAGAAGCCCAAGTGCTCCAACTGTCACCTAAATTTATGTTTAAAGATTCTCAAACACAGCAACAAAAGGTTTTTAGTTGTAGACATTCAACTTCAGCTGTTTTTTAAATCATTTTTATTGCACTGAAAACAAAAATATCTTAAATATCTCCACACAAAAAGAAAGAAAGAAACAGTAGCACATATACTGTTTAAATCTGCATGAACGTATACATACCTGCATACACAACTGCACTTACAGATACATATGCATATACATTCATATGTTACAGTATATGTGTATATACATATGCATATACTGTACATACACACCTGCATTCACACATATGTCCTGCTTTCTATACACTCCTGTTTTCCAATGTTATATAGCAGTTCTAATTAATTTATCTTCAATATAATCTGTACAAAAAGAGCTTCTTAATTATGGCAAAAAATCTTAATCAAGATTATTTAACCCAATCACTCAGGGACTTTGGTAACGCCATGCTTTTACTGAGCCCCTAAAAAACCTGTATTTTTAACAGTGAATTTTCTTGATCTTTAAATGTATTTCAACTGAAAACAATAAAATAAACACAATGTAAATAATTAAAATAAATAATATTTGAACATACAAACTTAAATGCAGCACAAGAGGAGAGGGAGAGACCTTGTGCTTTTGGGGAAAGAGCAGTGGACTGTGATTACTCTAAGCATACATAGAAAATGAATTACAGTATATATGAAAAGTTTCCTGGCTTTTTTTCTGGTCTGAATAAGTCGCTAAATTTGTTATGCCCAGTCTAGGGCACAGCATGAAAGGCCCCATCTTCCCCAAGTCCCAAGTAGCCACAATGACACAAACGTGTGGAATGATCAATAATGTGAATTTATTATAATAATTAAATAACAGAGTTGAGTGAAATGATAACGTCAGGGTGGTCTAAGGCCAAAATAACAAACAAAACAATCCTGTCCAGGGAGTAAGTAAATAACCTAATCAAAGAATAAGAAACAAATGACATAAAGCTTACCTCCCTAACTAAATAAACAGGAGAAAAGTGTAACAAAACTGGCAGTCCACCCCTACTATACAACAGTCTATACAATAATACAACACTACAATGTGTGGCCGGTTGGGAGAGGAGGAAGGTAAGGAATGCCTGCTAGCTCGCCGGCAACCGCCATCTTGGCCCTTTAAAAATCGAATGCCCTCGGCTGCAGCCAATCACAGACGAGGACCTAAACAATCCGCCAATCACCGCCACTGCACGGAAACACAAACTTACAGAAATTACGACAACAGTCTTAACATGCGAGTCACTTTTTAGAAATAAAGTCACTAAGAGGAGCTGAAAAGTCTAAATCTAGTGAGAAAGTTGCAAAGTTGGCAACACTGAACACACTGCTGTGATGGAAATAGCATCCTGGAAACTGGATTGTGAAATGAAACGCTGCGCAATAATCATTTAATCTTGATCATTTTGTTTTCATGATAGTTGGAAGCCAAAATTCTAATTTAAAATTACCTTTGCTTAATTGCCCAGCACTTAAACAAAGTCTTATTTATCTCTTGTTGCATTTCCTTACGATAGTACATCGATA